GCCTTGGGCCGGCCCAATCCATTAGACTCAAGACCTGAGAAGCAGGATAAGCAAGTGGGCCAGTTAGATTAGCCCAATTACATCGTCAACAATCCACCCAAGTTCTCAAGCACTTGGGTCCAGCCTGTAGTGGAAAGGTCAGTCCAGCCATGATGCTGGGCTGGGTTGAGCTGTAGGACTTGATCCTTGGACCAAACCAAGATGGCCCAAGCCAATACAAAGGTATCCTATTGGGCCAGCCCATCTCTACAAGCAATCCCATAGAGGGCCGAGCTGAGGCAGAACAATGTCGAACCAAAGGAACACACCAGAGAAACGTGAAAGCTGTGAGTATATGCATGTGCAAGTTGCCACCTCAGCTGGTCCCCTACACCTAGAATCACGAAAACAGTTAATCAACGGAATGTGATTTGTTATCAGCATGACCATAACAAGTATATGCACCCCTTGACAACTACTAGATGGTCCCCTACCTGGGGAGAATGCTAAAGGAAACGAAACAGCACCAAAGCTCTATGAAACCGTCTTGGGCAACAAGCAAAGAGTTATATAAAAACTGCACTGACTTCACATTGAAGGTAACTGATTTAAGCTAAACCCTCCTCACTGAAACATAACTCCCTACACTTAGAGAGCACCTTCCTCCTTCTCCGATTACTCATTCCCATATCGGAGGGGTTATCCGGCCAACCCCGGTCAGGCAGCTCTGACGGTGCTCCTTGTTGCATGGCCTCAATTCCTGGACAGTCTAACCAAGTGCGGAGCTCCGATTCACAATCATCTAGTGCGGTATTCAGTACGCACATTAACCAATGTAGGATCATAACTTGGTGTTATATAACACAATAGATGGATCATTTTTAATATTGAATATTCTTCTTGCATCTACCATTCTACCACAATTTACATATCCTGAGAATCTGAGATCAATGTTGAAAGAGAGAAGTCATCTAGATCTTGCATCATATTCAAAACATGATTTGCACTATCCACATATAAAAGAACTTGCTAATCCGGAATTGAATTCCACTTCATCAATAATGATTATGAGCATGGATTAGTTTCCCACAATTAAGAAATCCCAAATCAGTACAAAAACCAATAACTATTGCCAACACAAACGTATCACCACGTGATTCTTCACAAGATCTGAACTCAATTCCTTAAACATCCTCACAACTTCTCTTCAATGAACTTTCTTCACATACCCATGAATCATTAAATTCCAAGCAATCACATTCTTCCTGGGCATCTTATAGAACAACCCCAAATAATCTCTAACTCACCTGCTTTAGCAAAACCCCAAATGATCAAATTCCATGAAAAATTATTCTTGTAGGGCACCAAATCAAACAATTCCAATAACTTTTCCTTGATTCGTGATTCCATATAGCCTTCAATCATGGTTGTGGGGTACCCTCTACAAAGCAAGAGATGCGTCCTTTTGTATAGGGAAAAAAAATTAAAAAAATTACAAACTCGTGTGATCTAGATTAAATCGCACTATGTTATTTGATTTTGTCAATGTATGATTTTGCTCCAGATTAAATCGCACTATGTGATTTGATTTTGTCAATGTGTGATTTTGCTCTGTTTCTTAAAATAGGCAAATCATACTTTAAGATTCGATCTGTGATTTTAAAATTATGATTCTAATTTCGAATTGGTTTATATATATAACGATTTGTTATTATGGTAGACATTCAAGTATATTATTAGTATAGTCGTTAACCATTTGCTGACAAGCGTACTCTTGTATAATAGTAAAACTAATTATAACCAATCATTTTTTTTATCAACAAAAGAAATCTTTATTGATGACAAACAACCGTACAAAATACAAAGATTTTACATCAATAAAGGAAAGCGATGCATGCTCTAAGCATCACAGCAAAAGCTAAATGATCCTATCTAGGTTGGCACCAAAAAGAATGCTCTATCATCTACAAGCACAACCGTCCAAGGCTGGATAGAAACCAACCTAGACAACAACCAAAAGCAAACAAAAGCAAAAGGCTGCACCAACAACAAGCAGAAGTAAAAAACCAGCAACATCAGTGAGAATGATCCCAGCAGCAGCAGCTGACCCAATACTCTGACAAAATCTGATCTGCCTTAGGTTGGATACTAAATCATGCACTAAATAAGGCACCTTACTAGAACTATTTTTGGCCCAAATAGCCACCCTTACCTTAACCAATTTTGCTAATTCATCAAGCCTTGGTTGACAGCCATTAAAAATGCATTCATTCCCATGATTCCACACTGACCATAACAGAGCAAAAGGTAGTGCCTTCCAAATTTTCCTTTCCAAATTCTTGAAAACAATACCTAACCACTAAAGAAGAACCCCCTCCACCATACTAGGTCACCCATTGGATTACCCACAACTCAATTAACTTAGACCAAAGCTTCCAGATCAAAGGGCAAAGTAGAAGGATGTGATTAATTGATTCAGGTTCAGAGACAGAAAATACATTTGTTATTTGCACTAGCATCAAGCACCCCAATCCTTCATAGAAAAACTGATGTTTTCACCCTCTTCTTCCATGCTAACCATCCAAAAAATCGAACTCTTGGGGGGAACAATATTGTTCCACAGCATCCTTTGAATTTTTAATAGAGGCCAAAACCTGGCTTCATGCCAAATTCTGATTGATGCCACAATGAAAAGGCTTGAAGAGGTTGCTTTTCATCTAAGCTCGTCAAGGTAATTTTGCCTAAGTTCAGGCACTTCAACCAGCATCTCTTTAAGTCTGCCCACCTCTTCTTCCTCCCAAGCTAGGAGAGATCTTCTAAAAGAAAAACTCCACTCACCTAACTGATCCTTTTTTTCAAAGCATGCCCTTAAGGACTCATCCTTATCAATAGCAAGACTATAAAATCTGGGGAATTCATCATTCAATTTAAATTTCAAGAACCAATTATCTGCTCAGAAATGAATCCTATTGCCATTCCCAATAACCAACCAACCTTAAGTTAGACATAAAAAAAAAATCAGTAGGTTTAGATAGGTCAAAGCCAAAGAAATAATATCATTCCAAATTGCTTACTTGTTTCCCTCTCCTTGCACCATTGGCATCCATCTCCCACTTACAGAACCATACTTGCTTATGAGTACTTGCTTCCACAAAGCTTCATCTTCGACCCCAAACCTCCACCACCATTTTGCCAATAAACCAACATTTATTTCCTTAACATCTTTGATCCCTAAACCACCTTGTTGTTTGTTCTTTGTTACTTCTTTCCAACTCACTATGTGAACCTTTCTATTAAGGTCAAAGCCTCCCAATAAAATTAAAAAAAAAAAAGCAGCTTGTACCCTATCAATTACCTTTACCACCCCTTCAGGTAATTTGAACAAGGATATATAATAACTAGGAAGGCTTGACAAAACTGACTTGATCAAAGTCAATCTACGAAAACATCTTTCTTTTCCAAGATGCTAGTTTGAGCTTTAATCTGTCCACCACAGGTTGCCATGTCTTTTCCTCCTAGGATTGGCCCCAAGAGGTAGACCAAGATAGAAAATAGGAAGCTTCTGATGTAGACAATTTGGTTTAGTAGCAAAATCACTACTTGTTGCTTCATTCGCACCCACCCCACAGACCACACTTTTGTGGTTGTTAATCTTAAGACCTGACATTATTTCAAAACACCTAAGAATCCTTTTAATAGCTAAAACCTTCTCCCATTCTGTTTCACAAAAAATTATGATATTATCCGCAAATTGGAGGTGTGAAACACTCAACCCAGAAGCCCCAATTACTGCCCCTTTGAATACACCCATCTCCTTTTCCCTTTCTATTAGTAAATTAAGGCCTTCAGCTGCAATATTAAACAAGAAATGGGATAGAGGGTCTCCTTGCCTCAAACCTCTTTGAGGGGCAAATTCATCAGTTGAGGAACCGTTGACCAACACAGAGATCTTTGCAGTAGTTAAACATGCCTTCATCCAGTTTAGCCACTTATCCACAAACCCAAAGTTAGCAGGCATAGAGAACAAGAAATTCCAATTGATTGAATCATAGGTCTTCTTGAAATCTAACTTTATAACAATTCCTCTATTTCTCGACTTTTTCTACCAGTCCACCACCTCATTTGCTATCATTACTTCATCTAGAAGAATATTCCTTCTCCCCCCAAAAGATTGTTTGTACTTCACTTATGATCTTTGGTAGCACTTTCTTCAACATCTTAGGTCATAATTTAACATGGATTTTATATGTTGAACCCACCAAACTGATTGGTCTATACTCATTCAAGCTGCAAAGACTATCCTTTTTGGGTATCACTGTGATAAAGGAACTATTAATCCCACTTACCATGATGTAGAACAAATAGCCAAAGACTTCTTGGAACAATTGGACTAGCAAAAGGCAAGAAAGAAACCAAATTGCGAGCAATAGCGATACTTTTGGGACAAACTTGGAATTGTCTCAAATTTGGTAGTCTGATTGGAAATGGCGTTTTAAATCGAAGTCATAGCCGTCCTTGGCGATGATGAACGGTGGATTTTAGCCAAATTCCTTGTGTAGGCCTTCAAATTAGTGATTTTGCCATTTTAGGAAAGTTTCATTTTGGGAATAACTTTATTTTGGATAGTCCGTTTTTAGCACCATCCGTTTTGCCGTGTTTCTATTATTTCCTGGTATGTAGATTTTGGCTTAACTCATATTTTCTATTTTTTATAATTTTCTGTTTATTTTCGTGTCTAGTAAGGAATTATCCTAATTCCTTGTTTTCATCTTTAATTAGGGTTCAGTTTATTATAAATACGCATGTATGCCTTAGGAAAAATCATCTTTGATGCAATATAATTCAGTTCTTGAAAAAAAAAAAAATTCTTCGTTGTGGATTCAAGGATTTTGTTCGTCTGCTAGAATAATGTCTAGCCTCGCGTGATTTATTATACTGCGTCATGCCAACTTCCCATTCACATGGAAATCCTTCATAGTCTGAACCACTTCACTTTTCATTACCTTCTAGCATTTTTGAATTCATGCCAAGTTGAACCCATCTGGCCCTAGTGCTTTATTCCTTTCACAATCCTTTACAACTGCCCAAACTTCTGCTTTGGAGAATTCAGCTTCCACTATTTCAACAACCTTACCATTGCTTATCTTATGAAATGGCCCTGATGGTTTTGGTCTGGATGGCCATTCCTCTTGAAGAAGCTTAGTAAAGTGCCTTAGGACCATCATCCTCACCTTCCCTGGATCTTCCTGCCTTCCACCATCCACAACCATTAAATCAAGCATGCTCCTACACTGCCTTTTCCTAGCTATGACATGGAAGAAGGTGTTTTCGTCACGATTTTTTTCCCAATTCAATCTGGATTTTTGAAGCCAAAGCCGCTCATTTTTCTGTCTTAATTTCCAGACTAAACCTCTAAATTCCCTTCTTTTAGTGCATTCTTGTGGTTGTAGAGGTCTTGTCCCAGCCACCAAATCCAAAGCATGAAGCTCATCCCCAGCTTGCTTAAGTTGATGATTTATATTGCCAAACACCTCTATGTTCCAGGTCTTTGACACCATTTTGAGTTCTTTCAGCTTCCTTTGTCAGTAAAATGATGATAAAATTCCTTGAATTTTAGGTGGAATGGGAGTTGTAATTCTTTCTACTTCTCAAGGTATAATGATAGACTGAGAGGCTTGACTAAAAGGAATCAACAGAGAAATTTTGTGTTATATATGGTAATCCTTTACGTAATCTTTGAAGAAGTTGTAATTATGTAGTGAATGATGACAAAGTTCATGAAAATTATGGTTCCAAATCGAATCGAACCACATTTTTCTTATTTGATTTAGTTTGGTTACAAGATTTTCATGGTTCAGTTTGATTTCAAATTTTATAAAATCTTATGTAGTGGTTTGGTTTTGGTGTACCTCAAAATCAGATCACACTCACCTCTACTTTGGTAACAAGAAATTTTATTGAATTTTTTTAATGGACCTTAGGCCACAGTCTTAGTGGCTTAACAAACGAGTCACCTCTGTTGCAAATGTGGGTGTTTAGCTGGTTGATGGCTTTCTTTAACACCACTATGTATTAAAAAACAAGAATGAAAGACTGATTTATGAGTAAGAAATGTTATATAAATTAATAAATTTTAAGGTAAATTATATAGGTAGTCCCAAGACTTTGACCCTTGTGTTATTTTGATCCATATAATTTCAATTGGCTCAATTTTGACTCTGCTTTAAAAGTTTGTCTCAATTTGATCCAATTGATTTCAATTTTTGGTGTTTTTTTGTTAAAAAATCTGTAAATAAATTGTGCATTTTATATTTTTTAAGATAGAATCATAAATTTGTTTAACTTAGTGAATTAATCTCAACTAATTCAGTGATCACTTTCCTTCAAAAACCCTAATCGACTGTATCGATTGAACCGAATTAACACAAAATCTAAAGTTAATGATAAAAATCGAGCTCATTGAAATGAAAAAAACCAAAATGACACAATGAACAAATTACAGGGGCTTCTAATATAATTTGTCCTAAATTTTATAATTTTCTTATTAATTAATTAGACATACAACAATAAAAATTTAAAAATTACACCATAACCTATTTGAATAATGTGGTAAGTGTCATAAATAAGAGTCATAGGATTTGTTAATTTGTTAATATTACTATTAGTATGATGAATTTTATATGTACACAAGATATTTATTATGTAAATTAATGTAAGAGGGAAAAAAAATGACAGAATTTATCCAATTATACATAATCATTGTTTTCTTTTATTTTTCAAAATGATATTGGTAATTAACTCTACTATCCCTCCTCTTTTTATTTGCACTCTCTGTATGTATCTCCTAATATAACAGAGTAATTCAACTTTCATGAATAATATTCATAAGGTTCTTGTGCTGAATTTGTAATATTTAAATTTTATTTTATTTTTTATCAGCAACAGAGTAACTTTATTGAGTAAAAAGCAAAACAGTACAAAGGAGGACTAGAAGTAGGGATGGCAATGGATAACCTACCCTGTGGGTATCCATGGAGACCCAACCCAAATACATGGGTTTTCCCCTCTTTTTCTTATCCATTGGGTAGGGTAGGTGATATTCTTTAAATAGGGGAATGGGGATGGGGAATTAATATCCACCCCATTGCCCCCCATTGCCATTCCTAACTAGAAGTCCTCAACTATCAAATAAAAAGGACATAATAAAAATCAAACCAAAATGACCAGAGAAATGTTACACAAACAGTCATCCAATCACTAGATATCAAGAAAAGTTGGATCTCTCTAAATGGTGGAAACACAGAGATCTAAAAAGATGCCAAACTTCAAACTTTCTTTCACAGAGCATCCATGTCCCCAAATTTGCCTTGAAAAATCCTTGCTTTTATTTCCAATCAAATTCCCCAAAAGGTTGCACACACCACACAAAGCCACAAGCTTTAGCCCTCCAAAAGTAATATATCAGTGAAGTATCAATGGATAATTTCTAAAATAGAAAAGCAAATAATAATAATTGAAATGCATTCAGAAAGCAAGGAGTTGAAGGATGCATTTTTAAGCTTGATATTTTGGAGCATCATTTTTCACATTTTGGTATTTACTTTAGGTAGAAATATTCATATTAAAAATTGAATTACTGTTATAAACAGTACTAACTAACTTACAAACTTCTCTTATATTATATGCACATAAGATATATAAACACAGTAATATCTTTTCGTATCTTGCTGAGTCTGCGTTTGTATCAAGTGTACGTACATGGGTTATTTTACACTAGAGACTGACCTCCTTGCGAGTTACAAGAAAAGTGCCAGAAAAAGAAGTGTTCTTAGTTTAGTCCTACCCAAACTAATCATAAGATCCTATCCACTATATGCATGACAACTTGCAGTCAATTATCTAACTAGGGTACCCCCATCATATCTTTTATCTCTAAAAGTTGTTTTCGTAATGAAAGGCATTATTTATGCATCAAGATTTCAATTCACTTCACTTAAAAGTTGCAATGTTTGGTGCCTCCTATTTATATTGGATATCAACATCCAATTAAGGTCCTTACTTTTTAGTTGTTAAAATCACTACATAACAATCTTTCTACAACTAGACAATGAATCTATACAAAATTATAATAACTGATCAGGTACGGATGACAATGTTACAATTTTTCACTTCTACATATGGCTGAATGGCCATATCTTTCCTGATAACAGAGTTATCTTATCATGACATCGTAATTTTCTTCTTTCTCTTAAGAAATGTATCTATGAAATTACCTTAGTTGGCAAATAACTCAACTATTGATTCATCTTATAAAAGGCAGCTAAACATGTTATTTTTCTATGGATCGTAGAATACTCAAAACAATGTCGATGAACACACATTCCTCGGGAAATCAATTCATCCGTTGGTTGAGAGCTATCTTCTAAGAAGCCTTTTGCACGTGCTCACTAAATGAAGCTAAAAAAATGATAAGTGTCCCACTCAATGGAAGTAATAGCTCAAGCACTGCTAAAGTGCATAGGAACTATGTATTTCAAACTCAGCAGTCAAATATAAAAAATAAAAAAAAATTAACCAATTTGAAGTCACAAGAAGCTTTTTGACCTGATTTCTCTTGCTTTGGAGTTGTGCGCAAATCATCGGATGAAAAGCGATGCTCCCATGACCTGTACGTAAATGAAGACATCAAGTTGTTCTTAAGCATATTATTTATCAAAAACAAAAACAAAAAAAAAATTGTTCTAAGCATATCAGAACTTTTCAAGGAAGTCATGGGCAACTTCTGCAAGGGATAACAGACCGCTCATTGTTCTCGTTATCTTGAACAGCCGACAGTGGAACAGGCTTGGAGATAGAATAGACCACAATATGTTCCACATTGTCCGTATCAGTAGTAGCATAAGGTCTCAAAACTTCCACAGACAAGTTATCGTGAATTAACGCCACCTTCGAAGATATTTGTTGGAGGTAAAACCTCAAATCCCGCCTGAGGTGCCTGTCAAGAATTTTAATTTTTCTCAAGACCAGTGAAATATAAAGACGAAATGAAGATCATGAATACACTCATTCACATATGGAAACTCAAATATGCATTGAATAATAATTATAGAAAGCATAACTATTGACCTTTACTGTATGACTCTTGTTTATGAGAAATACACAATTGTGAGAGAGAGCAAATAAGTCAACAAGAGTGCAACTTAAGATTAAGCATCTTTGAGAATAATATTAGCATCAAAACTCAAATTTTGAATGGTTAGGATAGTACTTTCTCGAATTACAAATCTGTGAACTTAAAAATATGATTCTTTCTGATGCAGGGAGACCTACCATTGATCCTAAAAGCCAGAGCTCGCAGGAGGAGGCATATCAATCCCTTTATCCCCAGCCTAGGGTTCCAATAAATCAAGGCGAAACCGACTTCAGCCTCGGGTGATGCTCAGTTAATGTGCACCATTGATTTTCATTTGGCAAAAGTTGGTTCGAGCTGTTGCAACAAAGCTAAAGTCTTGTGAGATATTGCTTGGAAACTAGGCTATTTTAGTTGACTTTTGGGCTTTTTGACTATTTAGCATAACCATGTAAAAAAATTGATGTATTATTGATTGATATATTGATTGTTGTGATATTGATATTACAAGGATTTCTATTATATAGAAGAGGATTTGGGTAGTAGGTGAGGAGTAGGTGAGGGTAAATTGGTGGTAGGTGAGAGACCAAGTTGATTTCTTACTAGTTATTTTAGCCTATTTTGTCTTTATTGGCTATTTTACCCAAAAAAAGCCACCAACCCAACCTCCCAAACACCCCCAACCCCATTTGCCGTGTTGACTTTTGGCTAAAATAGCCAAAAAGTCAAAACACCTAATCATATCATCCTCTATACTTTTTTACACGACTTTTCACAAAAAGTGAAAAAACCAGCTAAAATAGTCACTTTCCAAACATCCTCTATATTTCAAGAGACGGTTGACTATTGTGTCGAAGGCACTTGTGTTACGGGATCGAGATTTGTTGCGAGTACGCAACTTGCCATGGAGTACAAAGTTCGAGGTGAAAATTCTACCGAGGTATTGGTTGTAGCTATGAAGTACCGACACTTTAAAATGGTTGTCGTGTCCGTGTTGGATATATATGAGACACTGACACTTCGAGGACACGTGTGTCTACCGCGTGGCATGCCAATTATTTCAATTTATTATTTTTTTGCGTGACACTTCACAGACATGGATGTCCTATGTTTGGACACTTTTCAAGGCACATTTGTGAGTTACTTCTTTATAATTTTAGAAAGATGGTGTGAGGTCAAAGTAAAATATATGGGGAAAATATATATATGTATATATATCCACATATACATTGATGTCTCTTATATTGTTGTACACTAAATTTATATTTATATACATTACCAATAAAGAGATGTAAAAAGTAATTTTTTCATTGTATGGTGTCCATGCTTCTTAGGTTGTAAGTCATTACTTGAGTCTTGTATTAATCTCATTGAATAGTGGTTGTAAGTCATTACTTGAGTATTATAGTAATCTCGTTGAATAGTGGATTATTACTATCAAAAAAAATGGCCGTGGTTTTTCCCCTTTAGAGGGTTTCCACATAAAAATCGATATGTTCAATATGTGGATGTTATACTTCTGTTATTATCTTGTTTAACAGTTACACAGAGAATTTAAACAGGGCAGAAAAGTTTAATTGATTGATAATAGCTTTGTTGAGCCTATTCAACCACACACATCCAAGCTAGATTATGTATGCATTTCGCATTTTCATTATTTTCTATATAACTTTAGCAAACATTTAAACCAAAAAGTGATAAAACAGAACCACCAAATTGAGTTAAGCTGCTATAACTATCTAAATGACAAGAAAAATGAAAATTTCAACCTCGCAATGTGTTAGCATATCAAGACATTTGCAATTGAATCCTATTTCAATTAAAGAACAGAAGAACATGTGATATTACAACTTGCAGTTCACCACTAGGTCTAAGTAGCGTTACGAAGTAACAGGAAGAACATAGAAAACATAAAATTCATTAATGGATGGCATGTTAAACATCCTAATTAATTGAAATTCATAAACATAAAATAACCAGAAGAAAAAAAAAAAAAAATTACCAATCGAGTACAACCCAAGTTGCATTGCAAGCTGTAACCTCTTGTAAAACCACCTTCTTGATTGGAGTTCCAGCAGTAATCATGACTTCAATGTCAACCTAAACAAGAAAAATAACTGTATTGAAGATAAGGAACAAGATACAATGTCCTCCTTTTAGCTTAAACCAGGAACATAGCAATTGGCAGTTCTACTTATGTGAAAAATGCATAACACTAAGGTTCAGTGATGTTTTAATTGACAATGTGAAATAATATATCTACTATTGCAACTATTTCTTTTGCAACTGATATAACACTTTAAGGTACTACTAGCACATGGTGGTATTATTGGGCTTATTGTATAGTTGGAGACAGAGTAACCAACCAGGTAAATTTTTAAGAAGCTTTTTATAGGATGGAAATGAGATTTGTCATGCAATCTTCCTTAAGAGAAGAAATGAGAAGAACCATCCATTGTGATGTAGATCAACAAGCAATGCATTATGGCCTTCTCATGAAACCTATATTCAATCAAAGGTTTTAACTCTGCCATTAAATCAAGTCAACAGTGCATTTATTTAATTGTGTGGAGTCAGCTATTAATCATGTTGCATGATTGAATTCCATATTAGTCCATATGCTTCTCTAGCAACTGATTTAGAATTTCTCATTCACATGGGTCTAAACGTGGCATGTCATATTCAACAACTAGTCAAACACCGACACGACACAGCACAACACAATACTCATCCGACATTTCTTGACGCCTTTCAGACATATTGAAACTTGCCATACTATTTCCAAAATTTTCTAGACGTGGACACACTTCACAATTTGGAGAGCTCATTTGTCTATCGCTTAGTCACACATTACAAATTTGAATAAAATAATTTGAAAAATCTAATAAAAAAAACATTTTAAATCTATACATATTCTCCTCCTTTATGCTTCAAAAATTAGTGTTACATTGCATTTTTTATTATTTTCTAATTAAATATTCATATACATGACAAATAATTATTTCTTATTTACATATATGATATATAATAAATATATAAAATTATATATTTTATGTATGTCCCCCCACATGTCTTGTTTTATTATTTTTTTTTTAAATTGTGTCAACATGTCTACGTTGTGTCATGTGTCTATGCTTGTGTGTGTACCCATACTTCTCATATTGCATTACATTGTGCAATTTCTATGATACATGCAAATAATTCTAGTTATACAAGTAATTTAAGATATATTTTGGACTGGTATATGTGTCAAGTTAGATTTTACAACAAAGCACATGATAAATTCTGAAAACAACAATACATTTATGTATTGGAAAATCAATCATGTATTTTGTTATTATGTTAATTCATCACAACACCATGGGTTACGATACCAACATGTGTTGTCACCAGTGATGATTCAAAAGTACTGCTACAATTGTTTACATGACAGTTGTGGTGTTTTAAATGACCCAAGAACTTCATTTGGTTCCATGGCATTGCATTACAATATAAATTTAATTCTACATATATACAAAAGCTTTATTTATTGAAAAAAACAGCCATGTATTTTGTATGACTATATCTAATTCATCATAGCACTATGACTTCACCAGTATGTTGTCGCGAGGCTTAAATAACAATACGTCTACCACCTATGTCATTGTGTTAATGTGTCTTAATCATCCAAGAAGAAAATATCTTAGAGCATTCTAGGTTTTTATTTTATTTTATATATAGCATATACTAATATTTTGTAAGGGAAATTACACTAACCTCCCCTTAAGTATAAAAAATAGAGCAATTCTCACAGTTTTCATATAATTTCATCAACCTCCCTTTTGGTAAGACTAAAGGGACTATTACAAATGCAGATAGTGTGAATACACAAATAGAGATGACAATATCATTTTTCTATTCATATGACTAATGAACTATTAATGAAAAGGGACCAATTGTCATGTAGATTAAAACCTTAAGGGAGCCCATTGTAATTATGTCAAACTTGTGGTTCTTATTGTATTTTTTCCAAATTTCATGCAATGTTAGTATAATTTACCCTATTTTTTATTATTATTAAGATTATCATCTTTCAAATTTTTCATGTTATTGTTAGAAAAGTCAAGGAATTGTCCTAGTCTTTAGGAAGTTTGTTTACTGCTGTTCCTAGTTAGTTGTTGTACATGGCCTACTTTGGCTTAGTTTTAGGAGTAAGTTTAGCCTGTTATGCAGCCACTGCAGTTCCTAATTTCATGCTTTAGTAATTAGTAGTTCCTGTTTTCTTGCTACTATCAGTTTGTTTACTTGCCTATATAATGGCTGTTTGGTTTATCAATAATGAGAGCAGATTAATATACTCTTTCCTAGCTCTTATTGTGTGTAAAAGCCTTTCTCTTCTTCATTTTGTAACAGTGGTATCAGAGCCTCCGAGTGAAAAAGTGAGATAGAGAGTGATATAGCAGCAGTTCTATTTCTCTATCACCTGTTTTTTCTTTTGCAGTAGCAGACAAGATCGATGGCTTCAGAAAATTTTGTGCAACCATCCATTCCTCGCTTTGATGGTCACTATGATCATTGGAGCATGCTAATTGAGAACTTCTTGTGATCCAAAGAATACTGGCCGGTGGTTGTTTCTGGAATAGCAGAACCAGCCGAAGGTGTTATGCTGACAGATGCGCAGAAGTCGGAGCTTGAAGCACTGAAGCTGAAAGATCTCAAGGCAAAGAATTATCTTTTCCAAGCTATTGATCGCTCCATCTTGGAAACAATTCTTTGCAAGGATACCTCCAAGCATATTTGGGATTCCATGAAGAAAAAGTATCGAGGGACAACAAGGTCGAAGAGGCAGCAGCTTCAAGCATTTCGTTCGGAGTTTGAAATGCTTCGAATGAAATTAGGAGAGTCGGTGACAGATTATTTTGCAAGAACGATGGCAATAGTCAACAAGATGCGGATCTATGGCGACAAGGCAGAGGATGTCACCATTGTTGAGAAGATTCTTCGATCCATGACACCAAAATTTAATTTTGTTGTCTGTTCTATAGAAGAATCTAATGATGTTGATGAACTTTCAATTGATGAATTGCAAAGCTCTTTGTTGGTTCATGAGCAAAAAATTAACCAACAAGAGAAAGAGGAACATGCATTGAAGGCCTCATCTAAAAGTCACTCTACACCAAGTAGAGTTGATAGAGGACGAGGAAGAGGTAGAGGTCGCGGTGGAGGAGGCAGAGACAACAATGATCATGGAAATCAACAACAAAACCATCACCAAGAGAATCAATTTCAAGGAAGAGGAAGAGGAAGAGGACGTGGAGGCCATCAATCAACTAGGCCAAAGTCAGCAGACAAGTCCAATGTTGAATGCTACAGATGTCATAGGTATGGCCATTATCAGTCGGATTGTCGAACTAACTTGAATAGACAAAGTGGAGAAAGAACTAACTTTGCAGAAAAAGAAGAGGAGGTGTCTCTTTTGATGGTGTGTCACGTGAAAGAGGAAACCCACAAGAATCTGCGGTACTTAGACACTGGTTGCAGCAACCATATGTGTGGAGAGAAGTCTGCATTCTCTGAGTTGGATGAAGCCTTTCGTGATGTTGTGAAGTTTGGTGATGATTCTAAAGTCTCCGTTATGGGAAAAGGAAGGTAGCAATTCAAACCAACAAAAATTCTATTCAAACTATCTCTAATGTTCTCTTTGTTCCAGATTTTAGAACAAATTTACTCAGTGTTGGTCAACTTCAAGAAAAGGGATATGGAATCTCTATCAAAAACGGAATCTGCAGAATTGTAGATGAAAATTTGGGCTTGGTGGCTCAAGTAAACATGACAGCCAACTGAATGTTTCCATTGTATCTCAACAACACCACTCACTCATGCTTCTCAGCAAAATTGAGGGATGCAGCATGGCTATGGCATTTTCGCTATGGCCACCTAAACTTTGGTGGACTGAAGACGCTACAGCAGAAAGATATGGTGATTGGTCTTCCTCAAATCACAGCTCCCTCTGAAGTTTGTGAAGAATGTGTTGTTAGCAAACAACACCGTAATCAGTTTTCACAAGGGAAATCATGGAGAGCGAAAAAGGTGTTGGAGCTTGTTCATTCCGACATTTGCGGGCCAACAACTCCATGTTCTAATGGAGGTAAAAGATACATAATTACCTTCATTGATGATTATAGCAGGAAGATGAGGGTCTATTTGTTGCAGGAAAAATCTGAAGCTTTTGCAGCCTTTAAAAGCTTCAAAGCTCTAGTTGAGAAAGAGGTTGGACAGCTCATAAAAGTTCTTCGCACGGATCGTGGTGGAGAATATAACTCACATGAATTTGCAAATTTCTGTGAGACCCATGGAATCAAGAGGCAACTTACTGCAGCTTATACGCCCCAGCAAAATGGCGTTTGTGAGAGAAAGAATCACACTATTATGAATATGGTGCGAAGCCTTTTGTTAAGAAGTGGAGTTCCAAAAAGCTTTTGGCCTGAAGCAGTAATTTGGAGTATTCATATTTTGAACAGAAGTCCCACTCTTGCTATTCAAAATATGACACTGGAGGAAGCATGGAGCAGACGAAGACCAGCAGTGGGTCACTTCAGAATTTTTGGGTGTGTTGCATATGCCCATATTCCAGACGAGAAGAGGAGAAAGCTAGATGATAAGGGAGAAAAATGCATTTTTCTTGGTGTTAGTGATCAATCAAAAGCTTATAAGCTATGCAATCCTAGCACCAAGAAAATCATTATCAGTCGAGATGTCGCTTTTGATGAAGAGAAGTTCTGGCCATGGAACAATGATGGTGTTCAACAACAGATTCCTGCGGTTTTTGATGGAGAGAATGAAAATGGAAGACAACAGCTGGTGGAGAATGAACAGCAGCCAATTCCAGCAACTACCGAAGAAGAGGAACGACCTCAATGTGCCAGAAGAAGACCAGCATGGATGTCGGACTATGAGGTAACCGGAATTGATCAATCTGAAGACGCACTCACTCACTTTGCTCTATTTTCAGACTGTGATCCTACAGTTTTCGAAAATGCTGTCAAAGAATCAAAATGGCAGAAGGCTACGGATGAAGAAATTGCAGCCATGAGGAAAAATGATACATGGGAGTTATCTGATCTTCCAGAAGGGCACAAAACAATTGGTGTAAAGTGGGTTTACAAGACAAAGCTGAAGGAGAATGGTGAAGTTGATAAGTACAAAGCCCGCTTGGTGGCTAAGGGCTACAAGCAAGAGTTCGGTGTTGATTACAAAGAAGTCTTTGCTCCGGTTGCAAGGCCTGACACAATCAGATTGGTAATTGCATTGGCAGCTCAAAACTCATGGCCTATTTTCCAATTGGACGTGAAATTGGCATTCCTCCATGAAGATTTGAAAGAAGAGGTATTCATTGATCAAAATCCTGGTTTTGTGAAACTTGGCTATGAACATAAAGTGTATAGGTTAAAAAAGGCTCTATATGGATTAAAACAAGCTCCACGAGCTTGGTATAATCGCATAGAGACTTATTTTTTGAAGGAATGATTTCAAAAATGTCCTTATGAACATACACTTTTCATAAAAATTGAAGATGGAGGGAACATGCTTATTGTTTGCTTATATGTAGATGATTTAATCTACACTGGAAGTAATACAACCGTGTTTGAAAGTTTTAAGAAATCCATGATGGTTGAATTTGAGATGTCCGATCTTGGCATGATGCATTATTATGTTGGCATTGAAGTAGTGCAGTCGTCTACGGGAATTTTTATTTCTCAAAAGAAGTACGTGGGAGAAATCTTGGACAGGTTCCAAATGAAGGATTGTAATCCTGTGACTACACCATCTGAGTTTGGCTTAAAGCTAAACAAAGATAATGGAGGAACGAAGGTCGACAACACTCTTTACAAGCAGATTGTGGGGAGTTTAATGTATTTGACTGCAACAAGGCCTGATATAATGCATGTTGGAAGTGTCATTAGTAGGTACATGGAGTGTCCTACAGAGATTCATCTCTTGGCTGCAAAAAGAATTTTCCGGTACTTGCAAGGTACTGAGGAGTTTGGGCTATTCTACAAGAAGGGAGAAAAATCAGATTTGTATGGCTTGACAGATAGTGATTACGCAGGAGATTCAAATGATCGGAAAAGCACATCGGGGTATGTATTCATGATGGGGACAGGAGCAGTTTCATGGTCATCAAGGAAGCAATCAATCGTGACTTTATCAACTACAGAAGCTGAATTTGTTGCTGCAGCAGCTTGTGCTTGTCAAGCTATTTGGCTAAAGAAGATTCTCAAAGAGCTACAGTTCAAGGAAGATGAGCCTACTCTAATTTATTGTGACAACACTTCAACAATAAAGCTGTCAAGAAATCCTGTTCTGCATGGCCGAAGCAAACATATAGATGTGAAGTATCATTTCTTGAGGGATCTCACGAATGATGGAGCCATTGATCTAATTTACTGCAGAAGTGAAGACCAAGTTGCTGATATTTTAACAAAGTCTCACAAGTTTCCTGCGTTTCAGAAGCTAAGAAAAATGGTTGGTGTTTGCACTTCGGATACCTTCAGTAAACTGAATGTTGAAACATCAGATTAAGGGAGGGATTGTTAGAAAAGTCAAGGAATTGTCCTAGTCTTTAGGAAGTTTGTTTACTGCTGTTCCTAGTTAGTTGTTGTACATGGCCTACTTTGTCTTAGTTTTAGGAGTAAGTTTAGCCTGTTATGCAGTCACTGCAGTTCCTAATTTCATGCTTTAGTAGTTCCTGTTTTCTTGCTACTATCAGTTTGTTTACTTGCCTATATAATGGCTGTTTGGTTTATCAATAATGAGAGCAGATTAATATACTCTTTCCCAGCTCTTATTGTGTGTAAAAGCCTTTCTCTTCTTCATTTTGTAACAGTTATATCCTTAGTTCATTACTTTCAGACAAGCAAACATAACTTTGGCAGCTAGAATTAGTATTTGACCTTTCAGTTATTTTATGATATAGGTACAACTCTCACCACAGTTCTTCACAATATTCAAGAAGCTTATCAGTTTTTTTCCAACACTTAGCTGACAGTTATATGTAGCTTCACATCCAAAATTAATTATCCATCTTATGACAAGAAAGCAGTTGACAAAATATGTACTAGTACCTCTAGCATTTAGTGAAGTTTTATTGAATATCTTCATGCATTTTCCATTGTTTTCCTTATGTGATGTATGCGATAACTACTAGTTACATCTAATTTGGAATTGAGTTATATTTGACACTATCATACAAACCATTTTTTTAGATTAAGGTTCTAAAAGATGCAACAATCACAGCGTCAAGATCTAAAAGTATAGGTATACTCTAAGCTTTGAACATATTTACAACAAGAATAACTCACACATGAAAGTTCATTGAATGCATTTAGAATATAGCAACTCAGTAAGAGTCACAGACTTGTGATTACTCTAGAATCACAGGTGCTTCACATTGCAAACATTCTTGTGAAGTATTTCGTCTTACAATATATGCACAACAAGAAGTTAAAAACATTATAGCCCCTGCAAATGCAATATCAGCATATCTTTTACTGAATAATGTTTGGTTTTTCAAAATAATCACCTCAGAGATTGCAATGCCTCTTAAATATATGGAATAGCTATGGCAAAATATAAAGAACATTTATTACCCTTTCATTTTTGCATTCTTCAGCACTTTGTAGGAGCATGTTCACATACTTACCAACCTTTTTTGAAACTTGGTCTTTCATTGCACTCATGTTTGTTCCCCAAAAAGAAACAGGGGATGCTTGCATTTGGTGACCCACTACACCAAAAACAAAATAAGAAGAACAACTTTAACCATAAAGATGAGCAAGAAAACCGGGTTTACTATTTTTTTAACCGTTCTCATGGTGGTTTATACCAACTTTTGGTAGTACATTCACCTGCACCCTTCTATTTCCAGCTTTTGGTTGTACTTAATACATTGATAGTCACACAAATTTTGAGTCTCCCAAAATTCATATCATAGTCATGATATTAGGTGATAGTAGAAAGTATTAAGACTCACCAAAAATTCTTAGATCCCATGAAAGGATGAAAACTCAATCTAGTCATTACAGTTTTGGGATCTCTTTGGAGCCTTCAACACTCAAACAACTCTACCATATGATATGATTCTTGCGGCGAGATCACAATATCACTTTAAATAGCGAATGATAATATTGTTTCAATGAAATAAATCCATTATCATTTGCACTTTTATGAAAGGGGGTTAATCCGAGACACACAATAAATAGAAATTGAATCCATTTTCAAAAAAGAAATATGAAAATGACCCAAACCTCATATATATATTACCTAAACTACAATGGGCAAAAGAAGTAAAAGTTTCACTTCTCACAGGCAATTCACACTTACTGGGGTGTGGGAGCCTATGCAGAATTCCAAGCAGAGTAAGTGTATCACCTCCATGAAGAATGTCACGCCTCAATCGGATATTATCAACAGTGAGTTCAAGCTCTCTTTTATTGCGGTACTTGGTAGCATCACAAACAATAACAACACGACCAGGCATTAAAGGATTATTCGACATTTCTTGAAAGCCCACAACTGGGTCTGGGTAGTGTTGAAAAAGGGTTTAAGATTTTCTAAAATGCTGTCTGTCACACACCCTCTCTAGAACCCATTTCTCTCTCTCTCTCTCTCTCTCTCTCTCTAGAAAACCCACTGTGTGTGTAGCGAGAATGATTCTTGGTATCTGTAATAATATAATGGGGAACAGCGACAATTGCAAAGCGCTGGAAGACAGAAAATGGTTCGTCAAACCCCTCAGTTGCAACGTAAACTCTTTTTGTTTGCATGGTATCCTACTCAGAAAAATGTCAAGACGGCTGGTATCGACTCCAAAAAATACTAAAATAAATCTCAAAATTCGAAAGATCATGAGACGCTAAAACACAACTCTTGCAGCTCTACAACACTACCAGTACATTTGGATTGAGTGATTTGGAGAGAAAAACAAAAGTCATTCTTCTTGGTGTTAATCGCTTGTTCGGATTATTAAAGACAGACAAATGAGGATAAATGAATGAAGAGAAATTAACCAAATTAGGCATAGCCTATTTGCCACCATGACTCTCAAGTCAAGACTTTAATTCCGATGGAGTGTTAAAATTAATGTCATATTTACATTAGATACATTGGATACATTGTATGTATTGGATACATTGAGTTCATACATTCTTTGTATTCATGTATTTTATATTTATTAAGTACATTGTCTAGATTATATTCATGTACCTAATTAATTACAAGGTTGTTTAAGTTCATGGATCTTATTCATTGAACTTATGTATAACCTTCTCTATATAAAAGGATGTAAGCCTATGGGCAATATAGATGAATCAATAAGTGATAAAAATTCAATACAAAATATAGTTCATTATAAAGAGAGTTTTATCAAAAGCTAACATAAGTGGTATCAGAGCTTTGGTTGGGTCAAAAGCAAGCTGGGCGTAGAGATCGGATACGGGAAAACAAGCCCCGAAGAAGAACAAACCGACGTCCATGGCGAATCGCATCAACCAAAATGTATCCACTCCTATCTTTAATGGTGAAAATTTTGATTTTTGGTATGTGAAAATGAGAACTATTTTTGTCTATACGGAGCTTTGGGATCTTGGGGATCTTGTTGAGAATGGGTTCGAGGAACCTGAAGATGAAGAAGCTTTGACAAATCCCCAAAAGAACCAATTAAAAAAGCAAAGGAAGAAGGATTCAAAGGCTCTCTCTTTTATTCAACAAGGAGTTTCAGAAGCAATCTTTCCAAGAATTATCAATGCAACAAAAGCGAACGAGGCAGGGGATATTCTTCAGAAAGAGTATAGAGGCAACTTGAAGGTAAGAACCATCAAACTTCAGTCATTGAAAAGAGATTTTGAAAATTTAAAGATGAAGGATATGGAATTGTTGAAGGATTATTTTTCTAGGGTTATGGAACTTGTAAACCAAATGAAAATTTATGGGGATAATATTACTAATCAAAGAGTTGTTGAGAAAATTTTGATAAGTTTGCCGGAGAAATACAATCCCATTGTTGCTGTCATTGAAGAAACTAAAGATCTTGCTGATTTGAGTATTGAAGAATTGATGGGTTCAATTAAAGCATTTGAGCAAAGGTTGAGTAGGCAATCTGAAAAGTCAATTGAAAGTGTCTTTCAATCCAAGCTCAATGTTAGTACCTCTAATTCCCAAGGAAGAGGAAGAGGAGGAGGAAGAAATACAACCAGAAGAGTAAGAAATGCAAGAGGAAGAGGAAGGTCTAATTTTCAAAGAAAGGAAAATGAAGAGTCCACTCAACAAAAGTGTGAAATTTGCAACCGAAGCAATCATGTTGATAAAGATTGTTGGTTTCGAGGAAAGCCAAAATTTTACAATTGCAACAAATTTGGGCATGTCAAGAAGGATTACCTAGTCAAGAGCACTCAACAAGCTAATTTTTCTGAGGAGCAAGAAAATGAAGGGCACATGTTCTATGCTTGTCACAAGGCATCGGATCAAACCAAGGATGTATGGTTTCTCGATAGCGGATGTAGCAATCACATGACAGGAGATGAAAGCATTTTTGTAAAAATGGATGCTTCCTCCAGTCCTCAAGTAAAAATGGGGAATGGTGCCTTAGTCCAAACAAAAGGAAAAGGTACTATTGCTATAGAAACCAAGATGGGTACAAGATTCATTTCCGATGTTCTCTTAGTTCCAGACTTAGAGCAAAATTTGCTAAGTGTTGGACAACTTATGGAGCGTGGATATCTTGTTCACTTTGAAGACGATTTTTGCAAAATTTTTGACAAAGGGAGGAAAAGCCAAGTTGTAGCACAAATCAAGGTGGAGAAGAATAGAAGTTTTCCTCTCATTTTTTGGTATAGCAAAAATGCGGCTTTGAAGATGGATGTGATTGATAATTCATGGCTTTGGCATAGAAGATTTGGGCACTTGAATTTTCAAAGCTTGAAGCATCTACAACAAAACAATATGGTTTTTAGGTTGCCAACCATTCATGAAGTGCAACATATTTGTGAAGGTTGTGCACTTGGAAAGCATCATCAGGAGTCATTTCCAAAGGAGAAAGCATGGAGAGCTAAAGCACCATTGGAGCTTGTCCATACCGATGTGTGCGGACCTATGGATACACCAACTCATGGAGGTAACAAATACTTTATTATCTTTGTTGATGATTTTACTAGAATGACTTGGGTGTATTTCATGAGACAAAAGAGTAAAGTTTTATCTATCTTCAAGAAATTTCAAAATCTTATTGAAAGACAAAGCGGTTGTTTGATGAAAGTACTGAGACGTGATAGAGGCGGAGAATACAACTCAAATGAGTTTATGAAATTTTGTGAAGATATTGGAATGGAAAGGCAATTGACTGTTGGGTACACTCCACAACAAAATGGTGTGGCAGAAAGAAAGAATAGAACCATAGAGGAGATGTCCAAGTCTATGCTACATGAGAAGGGGCTACCCAAAACTTTTTGGGGTGAGGCCGTGCATACAGCAGTTTACTTGATGAATAGATGTCCTACAAAAGCTCTTAAGGACAAAACTCCATTTGAAGCTTGGAGTGGAAGGAAACCATCGGTGAATCACTTGAAGGTGTTTGGTTCCATTTGTTATGCTCATGTTCCAAAAGAAGTGAGGCACAAGCTTGATGAAAATAGTAAGAAATGCATCTTTGTGGGTTATAGCTCAAAATCCAAAGGCTATAGACTCTTCAGTTTGGATCAAAAAAAGGTGATTATTAGTAGAGATGTTCTCTTTGATGAGAAGGCGTCTTTTGATTGGAAGGAAAAGAAAGTCCAAGATCCAAGCATTACTTTCAATGAAGAATCGGAAAGTCAACAAGTTGAAAATGTTGCAACTCTTGAATCTCCACAAAGATTGTCACCAATTGCTAGTTCACAATCTTCTCCAAGTTCAAGTTCTTCATCTCCAAGTTCAACTCCAAGAAATATTAGGAGTCTTAGTGATGTGTATGCAAGATGCAATTTATGCATTGTTGAACCTGAAAATTTTGAAGAGGCAATTAAAGATGAAGCATGGAAGAAAGCAATGGAAGATGAAATTCATGTGATTGAGAAGAACAAGACTTGGGAGTTAGTGGAGAAACCGAAAGAAAAAGAAATAATTGGTGTGAAGTGGATTTTCAAAACAAAGTTCAATCCGGATGGCTCTATTCAAAAGAACAAAGCAAGACTTGTGGCAAAAGGGTATTCACAACAACCCGAAATTGATTTCTAAGAAACTTTTGCTCCTGTGACTCGATTTGATACAATTAGAGCTATCATTGCTTTGGCGGCTCAAAAGGGTTGGTTCTTGCACAAACACCCCAAACATGGGTGCGAAAGAACCTCTAGTTGAGAACACCACGACACTATCATCCCTTGTTGCTCGAGTTATTTCATGCAACTTAGCGCATCTTCTTCTTCTTCTTCGCGACTATGTTTTGCTCTGATTACCCACAAAAATGGCCGATGACTTTCCAACAAACCTTGTGTAATTTCCTCCTTTTGTTGCTTTTGCAGCACCACCATGCTCCCAAAAGATACATAAACCACCGATGATTCGGGTTTTGAGTTCAACCATTCAATATAGTCTCTTGATTTTTTAAAAAGGTCGCCCACGAATGAAGTATCCGATGGGTCTCTTCCATCCAAGAAAGCCGATGAAATCAACTGTCCAATTCCAATCAAATTATACTTTTGAATAGCTTTCAAGCTCTCAAGTTCTAATGCATCGCATGTGTTCACAAGTACTTTAGGGTTGGTTTCTTCATCGAGTGTGTCTACAAGTTCTTTTAATGTTGGTAGCGCAAAAGCACTATTGGTTAAAGGAAGTATCGAAGAGGGAAGGTCACGGCTTTGTAGCCGTGGCAATCCAGTAATTCAATGGACCAGGAGGAGTCATTGCGATTTTTCACGATGTCCTCTCCGTGGCCATTGAAGTAATAGTAGTAGATATCTAAAACAGCAGTCGATTGAATCCAAAGGAGCATTGATGGGACGTGAAATCACGCACCACCACAGCCGCCGAAGGAAAGACGGGGTTGTAGACCAAGCACGTGACAGGGCGGCCTTCGTCAGCGCTGGTGGTGATGATATCTCTGAGCATTCATGAGCTGTTACTTCTCAACTCAGAAATGTAGTGTTGGAGATTGTCCCCGGATTTATACCCATCATCGTAGCCATCCGAAAAGGCGATGAATTTCATGTTAAAATTAATGCCATATTTACATTAGATACATTGGATACATTGCATGCATTGGATACATTGAGTTCATACATTCTTTGTATTCATGTATTTTTATATTCATGTATTTTATATTTATTAAGTACATTGTCTAGATTATATTCATGTACCTAATTAATTACAAGGTTGTTTAGGTTCATGGATCTTATTCATTGAACTTATGTATAACCTTCTCTATATAAAAGGATGTAAGCCTATGGGCAATATAGATGAATCAATAAGTGATAAAAATTCAATACAAAATATAGTTCATTATAAAGAGAGTTTTATCAAAAGCTAACATGGAGGACATAGCAAATCCTTTACTTTGGAAGGGGGAGGTTAATTTTCATTAGTGTTAGTCTAACAATTAATAATTAATTTTCACTCATAAAAA